ACTGAGCGACATTAAGTAGCGCATTATGCTCAGTGAATGGGCGCGGTCACGGTCTTGGCCACATAAATCACTTGCAGGCAGGGCACGGGCAGAAAGCAAACGGCAAAAACGCTACTTTGTTGCATCAAATTTGCATAACTTTCCACTGTTGCTGCGGCACTCGCACAGTTTTGCATTTAAAACTTGGCAACTTTTATAGCATTTACTAGTTTTCCTGCCCAACTTTACGGAAAGTAAGACAACACCCGCCACACCACCATACACCAGCAGCAGCAGAACCAGCAACAGCAGCAGAGTGTTCTGGATTTTCCTCCTGGTCGGAGCACGGGAACCCTTTGCCACTGACAAGCAACAAATGTTTGCGGAAATCTGTGGAAATCTAGGGGAAATCTGGGGAAATGCACTTTCCATTAAGAAAGGCCAGGGGAAGACGAGTTTAATTTGAATGGTGCCACCCGTTTTTATTGGCAAACTTCAATAAATTACACCACCATTAATCCTGCAAGGAAGGGGCGGGGCGGGCAGGGAGGCAGTCGAAAGACGTGACGCCATCTAGAGTCCGGAAGCCGACGATTCCACCGCACAAAACGTCAGACTTCAATTTCCATGTGAGTTTGTTTGTTTGTTTGTTTGCATTTTCAATTTCCCCCACCGCAAGGGGCGTGCAAAATGGTCCGTGGCTGTCAATTTTAGGTGGTGGTTGAGTGGTGGAGTGGCTGGGGCTCCCTCGTTTGTGCTTGCCAAACGGGTAAGCAATTTTCTACACCAAAACGAATCTCGCAAATTGATAATCATCAGCATGTGGATTGGTCTGGTTCGGTTTTCGATTGCTGCGCGGATGTTCGTCCATGTCAATGGAGTGCTGCAAAAAAAGCGGATAAAATTCGTGCAACCAATATGTAAGGGGTGACTGGCGACTGGGAGGGGGGGACTCGCAAATCTCTTCCTTTGAGCAGGGCTCCTACTGACTGACAAATTGAGTGTGCGGCCACAGGAAAGGCCCCGCCTTGGATGGAGCTGAATAATTAAAGCTATTCCGTGATGGAAATGATAGCTCTCTGCAAAAACAAGGCAGCGGAAAAGCGCATTAAAATTAATTATGCTTTTCCCCATTCATTGCAACAGCGAGCGAGCAAGCGAGCGAGCAAGAAGAAGGCGCGAATATTAACATTTTGCTCATCCTTTTCACAAGAGTATTTTTTTTACTCGGTTTGTTATCTATTGTTGTGACAGCCAGCAAATTAAATACATAAATAACAAAGCAATGTGCACAAACACCGAAAAAAGAGTGTGGCATAAATATTCCAATACAAAAAATATGAAATAAATTCAATTAGAGCAAGGGAGCTAGAGGTTCATGAAGTTAAGCCATCAGCAGAAGAAGATCCAGCGAAACGGCGGCTGAAATAGTCGGCAATTAATGGAGGGACGTGTGCCGGCATTAGCCTTAACTACCGCAAATGTCGCACCATGCACGACTTGATCAAGAAATAGAAGCGGAAATAACTACTCATTAAGCGCGATGGCCACGTAAACTGCCAACAGTCCATTGGGATCTAGGAGATGGTAGCTGGAAGCTGGTCAACTGCAAGTTGCACCAAACTATAAGGGCGACTGAGGCAGTGTGGTAATAGAAATCATTACAATAAAACCAAATGGGCCCGAAGCAACAGCCAAACGAGGCAATGGCCAAGAAAAGAAAGTCATTTGGCTGCCACCGGAGCTGGCTGGCTGGCTCGAAGATGCCCCAAAACGGGCGCAGACAAATGACAGACACGTAGCGAGGCCAAGGCAGACAATCAAAATCCATTTGAGTCGGAAATGAGGAAAATACACAATGGAGTTCCATGGCTTCCAGGCAGGCCACCTCATCCTTGGCCCCCAGCTTCCCAGCTGCAGCCATAACTTCACATAAGGCGTCGCATTTTTGTGGCCAAGGCAGTAGATTTTTTGGAGGCGCCTCCAGGGGCTTTAAAATAATAACGATACACAAAGAGCGGGAGAAAGTGAGAGTGGGGGAGGCAAGAACGTAGGAACGTAAGGACAAGATGAACGCTTCATCGCCTCCTCATTCGACTTGCTTCGCTGGCTTCTACTCCCTTAAGCTTTTGAGCGCATTCCTCAGCTTCTTCGGCATGCAAGTAAAATATGTTTTGATATTAAATTATTGTCGGCACGCCCCAGCTGCCACCACACAAACACACAGACACCGACACTCACACTCACACCCACACCCACTGGGTCCCAATACACACAGACATTATATGGGGCACGTGCAGTTCGGGACGCATAATAATTGCCGGTTGATAGCCCCGGACATCCCTACTCTGCTCTGCTGGGATGCTGCGTATCCTTTTTGCTGACGCTCTCCGCTGCCTTGCCTTGCCTATCCGCAAGGCCACAAGACGAAGCTTTTCTGAAGCTGGAGCCGGAGCCGTAGCCGTAGCTGAAGCTGGCTCTGTGGCGGGCTCTGGGGTTGGGGCGTGCGCACAAACTGAATTCCAAAAAATGGAATTTTTATTGCAAATTGCGAAATTTTAACTAAAAAACACAACGCTCGGCCACGGCGGCCCTGGCTGCTGCTGCTGCTGCTATGGTCGGGGGGCAAATGGCAAACGAAACATTTTCAGTGTCACTGTTGTGGCAATGTGGCAATGTTGTGTAAGAAATGGCCTCTCGTGCCATTGTAATCAATAATATCTGCCACTTACCCTGGAAAGGAGTCCAGCTATCACGAGTCGCTGTGCTGGACAGATCAAAGCTGCAATTTGAATAATTTATCGGGGTCTTGCGGCGAAAGCGCCTTAAAGGTAATAAACAAAACTCTTTTTCTTTTCTCTCTCTCTATCTCTCTCTCTCTCTGTTTATGAATCGCTCTGATGGACAGTAGAGCCGGAAGCAAATCATTGAAATTTTTCATTTCCTCAATTTGAGGGGGAAACTCAGGGAAAAATTCTCAAAGCGTATGCAAAGGGATTGAACAAATAATTCCATTCCTCCAGCAGTGCAAAAGAATGGGACTCGAGGGGGGGAATGGGGAGATGCAGCAACAAAAAAGGTGAATTATATGCAAAGAATATCCTCAAAATACAAGAATACGACCTCAATGCTTTTCACTCAATTTCCAACTACTAAATCGCTCACTCTCTCTCTCTCTCTCTCTCACTCTCACTCTCTCTTTCTCTCTCTGGTGCTGTATCCGTCTATCTCGCTCTGTAATCTCTCCATTTCTTTCAGCCGGCTCTGTCCTTTGGCACGTTCAAGTGCAGCCATTAAATAACTTTTGCCTGAGTGCGTCCAAAAATTTTTCGGGAATTAAAGGCGACAAATCACCAAATCGCCAAATTGGTCAAAGCAACAGAAACGTGGCCAAGTGACTGAACTCGATGGCCGTTCCATTTTTATGTATGAGTATTGTGTGTGTGTTTTTATGCGTTCCCGATTGATTAGACGCTCCGATTTGGATATTGATTGAGTAGCGCAGATACATCACGTTCCACGTTCCCCGCCCCAACTCCACATCTCGACATATCTCCTCATTCAGTGCCAGTGACACTTGCTGGTCTTCCACTTGGGACTCCCCCATCAGCTCTTCCACTTGGATGGGTTTTTTTGTACCTGAAACCGATTTTAGTTTAGACTTCCGTTTTGTGTTCGCCGCACATCCTCTTTGTGTTTTTAGTCTTCCGTTCGTTGTAATTTCGATGATTTTCCCATCAGTGGCGCGGCATTCCTTTTGAAGAAATTGATGCGTTTCCTTGTGCATTACTCATACGACACGTGGACTGTAATGTGTGAGGCTTTTGGCCTTTCGAGTGGCCATTCTTTGCGTGTTGCTTCCAAATTTTAGTGTGGTAAAATATTCATAAGTCCGGGCTCGAGTTGACTTTTGGCATTTGTCAATCGGGAATTATTCTGCATGCCCCTTTCCCGCTGGAAGCTGGCAAATGGTGGCTGCTTGGGGTGGGGGCCATTGTGAGGCATTCGCGACATGCGACACCACACAGAAAATTCTCTTTGATGCGTCAGCCAGTCCGAAGTGTATACGAGTCTTTTTTTGTTTCTTTTAATTTTCTCCCGACGAACCCAATACTCTTGATGAACGGCGCAGGCACAGGCACAGGACAAGGGGCCAAGACGGCGTGGCATTTCCTTTATGCACGCAGCGCATTAAATTGAATTTTAAATGAAGATTGATTTTTGCCTCTCTCTCACCGAAATAGGAGCAACAACAGTGCGCAAAAAATAAAAGGGAGACAATGTGGAAAAAGGGGGAAACTGGGGAACAGCGCAAACCGATGCCCCAGCCACTTGCCAAGAAACCAAAAAAGAAATAAAGCAGAAGCACAGACAATAAAACGAAAAAAAAAAAATGCCCCAAAACAAATGCCGCCCATTGTAATTAGAGACAATGGAGGAGATCCCTTGTGACTGCAGTGCTGCGACCCTTTTGGCCCTTTTTCGACCCCAAACTCCAACCCGTCCACCGCTGCCGCCTCTTATCTAAATTAATTCAAACGCCCGAAAGAAACACAAATAATTAAAATTAATTATGTGGAAAATATTCAATAAGTTGGAAATTATGCAAACGAGCAGAGCGCAAAGTAAACGCCCCAAGATAAAACTAAGTGCAATTTGGACCACGCGACGCAATGCCGCGCGAGGCGAGGCGACACGACGCGACGGTGGGACCCACAAGTATTTTGTTGACCGAAAATATCTTCTCCTACTTAAGCGCTGATGGACACGGGTTGGATGAATGGCCACGACGAATAGATGGTTGGATTGCTGTATTGTTGGAGTTGCGTGCGGATTGAGCATACCAGACAACTGTCAAGCGCTCAATGCTCGAAATAATTTTCGAATTTTCGAAGCAGCAGCAGCAGCCGAGGCAGAACCTGCCCAAGTATCTGACGAATGGGATGGGGTTGTACGAGAGCGAACTGTACGAACAATTTCCGGCATTTCGTATATAAACTGAAAATGTCCCACAGCCGCCACAGTGAGTTCTCTGCTCAGTCTGGCTCGGTTCGGATCGTATCGGATCGTATCGTATCGTATCGTATCGTATCGACTTGCTTTGGTTCGCTTTGCTTCGTTAGCCGGCAGCTGGTTTTTGACTCGAAAGTAGCGCAAATTACTTAAAAATACCAGAAGCGAAAATATTGGAGCAGCCTCTGGCCTGGCCTCTGCCAGTTTCTGTCGATCCACACACGAGAACACCTCTATAGCAAAGCCCACAGCTGTTGCGCGCTTCATTCCGCCTCTGTTGTTCGCCGCGTGAAAAACATGAAATTGAAAATCAATTTGACGTTCCTCTGGGCGACAATCGTCGGCCTCCTGTCCATCATTCTATTGACACAGACCACGCAAATTGGAGCATCGAGCGCTGGCGCTGATGCAACATGCAAGGAGCTGAGTAAGTACTGGGGGCAAGCAACAAAACTGTCTCGTAAAACTGCTTAATTAGCTCACTGGACAAAGCAATAGCGAAATAGCTTGAATGACTCAGAGTGACTCTCTTAGGGCAGCGGGGAAAGGCGAAAGATCAGTGGAGTGAAATGTAGAACAATGCATAAAAAGACTACAAAGTAAGGGCTGATGTCGTAATGACTATTACTTGATTATCGACAGAACTTGATTGCCCATGGCAATGCCATAAATACTCGTGCGAGTATATTTAAATAATTTCTACTGTGTGCACCTTAATGAGTAGTTGCAGTCTGCTGGGTCTTGCCAAGTTCTGTCCGCAAATTCGCTGCACGTCAGTCAATTCTGGCCGCGAAGATGTTTTATTTTCGCGCTTATGACAGTGCAGTCAGTGGCCAGTGTATTATGAAATATTCCGTCGTTTGCCTTGTGTCCCATAAAAACAAACAAACAAAGGCACTTAATTGCAGCAAATGGCGCCAAACGAGCGCCGCTGGAGCGCATCGGGGGGGAATGGGACTGGGCACAGAGTCCATTTCCCGGAATCAATTAACAACGGAATTTCTGCGTTTCAGACAATGTCAACTGCTATGTGGGCCGCAACGAGGGCAACTTCTGCAACAGCAAGGACCAAACCAAGGCTGTCACCCGGTGGTACTACGACAAAGGCATCTGCCGATCCTTCACCTACAAAGGCTGCAACGGCAACAGGAATCGCTTCTGCACCCAGGAGAGCTGCGACGTGCGCTGCGGCGACGATTGACCAGTAACATTGTAGTGCCCATATCACCTTAGATGATAAGTTTGTATGTTTAGGCTAAGCATTCAGAGCAAATAGAGATCGGATCGCATTCGAGCAGCCCTGTGCCAATGTGCTTAAGTGTTTTACCTTTGATCAAACTAAATGCCGACTAAATGCCGCCCCAAAAATAGCCAGTCAAATGTTGTAAGCTGTCAGCGTTGGATCGGCACTCTGGTCACTGTCAGGGCTGGGACAAAAAGAAAAGTGAAGGAAGGGAAGGTGAGCCAAGAAAAAAAAAAATGTGGCAAATGTTCGAGCTGTCAGAGGCATATCAAATGGCCCCCTGACACGGCACTGACAGTGTCGCCAAGACTTTGAATTCCACCCATTAATGTCGGTGACTGTCCGCGCTGACGTACTCAGGGGTCCCTGATGCTGCTGGACAGTGTCAGGGAGCAGCATCCATCCACCAGCCGGCTAGTGTCAGGCACATCAAAGAGCTGTCAGCGTTTGCCCTTTTTTTGGGGACTATCGACTTACGGCTAATTAAAATGGTCCGTCCAAACGAAAATTACATTTGGCATTTACCTGTTGACTGATTCAGTGTGGGCATTAATGGCAGGCCCTAGCCGGCATCTGTCGGTTTTGACAGGCTGGAAGGGCCGGCCAGTTCGGAAGAGTGGAAGAGTGGAGCTGGCCTGATTGCTCTGCACAAACAAATGCCAATCAAATGCATAATAGCATCGAAGCGGCGTGTCATGGTACATGACATGCCATTGATGGCAGCACATTAATCTGCTCTGCTCTGCTCTGGTCTGGTCTGGTCTGTTTAAATGACAGCACTCAGAGGCTCTGAGGAATGCGATGCATGCCCCGGAAAAGCCCAAACGAGAGCAGAAACAGAAACCCATCCGAGTCATGTGCTAAAACTTCGGTTTCAATGCGGGCAATTTTGGCCGTGCCGTCAAATAAAACAAAGAAAATGTGAAGAAAAAAAAAACGTAAAAACGTACAACGAAAATACTCAACTGATCAACGCACAATTTTGACAGCATTTTGGTGTTTGATGGAAAATTTCGCCCGAGAGCGAGCGACAGAAAAAACTTTTCGCAGTGGTAAATTTTCTGTTCTTTTTTTGTGTGTGTGTTTTGCGCCAGCAATTTGCATGAAATTAGTTTGCTTTTCGATCTAATTGGAAATTTAAAACGAACGCATGGCATAGAACACGACAAAGGCCGAATCCGATCGGGCCAGGCCACTTTGTGGCTATAATTGAAAAATGGCAAATCCACGCGGCATTAGCTCAACGATTTTGTGCTGTAGATACGGGGGAAAATATGAAAATCAGCAACAACAAAAATGTGGACGTCGTAAAATTTCGGAGGCCCTGAATCTGGACCAGCATTAAGTGCATGTAATTTGATTATTTATCACATTTTTGTATTTTTAACGACTCAATTGAGTTTTATGTGAGCCAAAAGTGAGGCGCGTGGGATGTTGGGGGTTCCATTACGGCCACAGACCGGAAGGCATTTGATGCTGCAAAGCTGCAACTCCATAAAACTGACACGCCGTACTTTGGGTCGATCAAAAAAAGTTTTTGCCCAGGACGAGAACTTTGACAATGCTCGCAAAAGTATGCTATGCTAAATGTTTTGCTTTGATGGGAAACAGAAATGTCTCTCTCGCTCTCTCCCGCTCCCTCCCTGTCACGTTTGTTGGGTTTTTCTATGGCACAAATGGAAGCAGGCCAAAGCCATGAACCAAAGGAATTTATAAAACGCAAAAATTGCTTTTGTTTGCTCCCACAAAAAGTACACAAAGCAGGGCACACCCAAAGTGGGCATGTCCATGTCCACCCTACCCTATCGCCCCGCCCTAATCTGTCTTTTCTGTGTTCATATAAATTTTGTGTTTATTCGAGTGCATTTCCACTGCGTCGCACACTGGGCCCACGTTTAGTGGCCATGCAGGCCCCACTCGCAGGTCTGGCTCCGCCAATGGCTTTGGGGCTTCATTTATGCAGAAGGAGTAGGAGGAGGAGGAGGAGGGAGAGCAGCAGTGGGAAATGATCCCATAATGTTGGACCCCGACCACGACCCGGTTAACCAGGCACACGCACACACACGCACTCACAGCCAATGCACAGGAAAAAAAGGACTTTCTGCTGGTTTGAGCTTTAACTAGTTTTCCGTTTAAATAATTCGGACTTTGACTGTACTTCTTTGGTGGCTAAGTCTTGGTTATGTTTCCGGCTCTGGACCTTTTTCTGAGGTTTCTCTTTGCTCGCATTGAATTAAAATTCCTTCTCTGGTCGAATGAAAACGAAAAAGTTACCAATGAAATTTATTGCCATCGACTTTAGCAGCGACTTTTAAAAAGTTTTCCTTTCAGCAATGTTTTCCACCGACTTTACCTTCAAAAATTCGCGAAGTGGTTCAGAGATTTGGCAAAAGGAGTGGAGGGGAGGGGAGGCGAGTGGAGTGGAGTGAAGCCAAAGCAAAAAAACTTAAACCCTTTGGCCAATTTAATTTCATTGCTGTTGTTGTTGTTGCCTTTGTATTTTCCACACAAATTGGTTTCTCATTCTGCTTGATTTCATGCGCAATCTGGAGACGAGTTCCTTCAGGTGCCACAAACACACACGCACACGCATACACGGGTGTCCTGGCACCTGGTAGGTCTCTGAGACCACTTGACTGGTTATCTGCACTTGGCCGATCAGCCCACTTACACTTGTTGCCACTTGAGTTTCTGATTCTGGTTAAGGGCGTGGTCCTCTATCCATCCCTAAACCCAGCAACATGCACCCTGCACCCAGCACTCTGCACCCCCCCTCCTACTGCTGTGTGCCGTTCCCCCAAGGCGCACTTTTATTTATCTAGCCGGAATCGTGAAGTTTCTGCTCTCCGGCAGCATACACACGCTATCGAAGTGTGTGTCTGTGTGTGTGACAAGGGCAAACAAGCAGGCGGCAGCGTAACTGCAGCTTTCTTAAGGGGGTGGCTGTGGCCATGCCCCCAAAATGCATTGGGATTGTCACTCGTCTTGGCAGAGCTCAGCACCGACTGCAGTCGTCTATGCTGGATTAAAGAGAGCAGTGCCAGTTCACATCCATCCTTGCGAGCAGCTCTCGACAAAATAAATTAAAATATTTATAATACACAGACAAACACACACAAACTAAATATAGAGAGAGAAGAGGGAGATGAAAGTAGAGAGCGTCTCGCATATTAAATTAAATATGAACCTACTCCAAATAACATCAATATGCTATTTCTATTTAAATTTCGCCTTGGGCACATTGCTGCACGTAAAAGATAAATATTTATATATATATATGTATATAAGTATATAGTAGGGGAAAAAAAGAAGAAGGTGTATGTACGTGTGCAACTTTCGGGGCGTGGCGTGGCAAACAAACATATTGCTGACAGTGTTAAGCAACAGCTCCGTATAAGGATCCAGATCAGGCCTAGTCAGAGCCAGAGCTAGAGCCAGAGCAAGAGAGTGAATGAGTGAGTGAATGGCTGATGAGGCGTATGTGTCGGTGCGTATCTGTGAGGGATTCTCTGTGCATGATGCCCGTCTTTGTGTGCGTGTGGAGTTAGTGTCAAGTGTGGGACATTTAGTAATTCCGCAGGCATATCAAGGACAACGTACTCATAAATACCAAAGCCAAATGCCGCAGCAGCAGCAGCAGCAACAGCAGCAACAACAACAACTGCATCCTTGTCTCTGACACTATTTTCCTCTTTTACCTCCTCTCCTTTGCCACTGCCTGTCTGCTTGTATTTGTATGTATGGAATTTTTAACTTCATTATTGAACCCGGCTACCCATTTTCCTTCTGCTCCTGCTCCTGCTCCGGCTGCTGCTGCTCCCGTCATTCGTTGTCATTGTCTCTGGTCGCATTGCTCAACATCTTTGCGAGTGCGAGGCCCCAGGCACTACGGCATGCATACCTAATGCCCAATGATGTGCACACGGGACTCGACACTGAACCTCAACTCGACTCGACTGCTGCGGGGTCTGCTCCATCATTGTCGCTGCCAGTTGTCAGTCACTTCGAGTGGATTCCCCAGTTCATCCACTCGGTTTGGGTTGGGCTGGGTTCGGCTGGGCCGATTGTGATGCTTTGCAAGACATTTAAAAAATCATTAATCTCATTTCTGGACCCAGTCTGGGAATGAGTTATCCCGAAGAGAGACCAAGAGACCGACTTCTGTTTCCACTCTATCAAGCATTCGCCTTTTCCTAATCCAATTGCTTGAAAATTTTTCACTTTTTCTGCCTCGGCCATAAATTGTATTCGCTGTCCGCCAATGTTTTGTTATTTATTTGACTTAAGCACGTTTTCCTGCGTGGCATTCTCTCTCTCTCTCTCTCCTTTCGACGCTCCTTCGCGCTGTGCTGCTTCCCTTTTAGCGCTGAACCTTTAAATGATATGCCACGCCCACAGCTCAGAAGTCTCAGCTTTACAGCTGTAGAGCTGTCAGCATTCGAGCGGCACCAAAACTGAAAGAGCACGCGATTTATTATACTCGCCGCACACCTAAACGAAAGTTTTGCATTGTAAGGGGAAAATATTTCGGGCACGTTTGCTCAATGAGAAAGCAAATAGGGAAATGGGAATGTGAATCCGTACGAGTTCGACCACGGGAATGGGCATTGAATTTATAGCGTCTATTTATTTGTGCGTATGTCAATGCCGAGTGTCGGTGGCGCCGCCAAGGCAATGGCAAGGACATCAGCCAGAGCGGCAACAACAGTGCGTATGAGTGATATTGCTGTGGGTATGGGGAGGGGGGTTCTGAGTGCTTAAAAGTTAAATTTAATTAATTATGTGCCGCTGGCTGGAAAATTGCGTATTTTCCTCAGCATCGCTTCGAACTGTATGCAATGATTTATTGAGGCTCACACGAGCCTAGAGTCGCGAGTGCGCGGGCGGTGGCGTTTGCGGGGGGGTGCTGCTGGAGGCTGGAGGTATTTCGCTATTTTGTTTTGTCTGTTCTGTTTCTGTTGTGTTCCGCACTTTTTGCTTTTCTTTGTGCAATTTTGACGGGGAAAAGCGAGCGAGTCAAAAGCGCAACATGAGAATTTATTTGGCTCACATTTGTCTTGTCCCGAAACGCTCACTCACATGCACTCCCACTGGCACTCCCACTGCTGCTGCTGCTGCTGCTACTGC